CTACCAGCAAGGCCACTTTGGAACTCAAAACCAGGGTGCTACCTCTCTGACCTAGAAATGACCTCTGTCGGTCAGAGCCCAAGTAGCCATGTAGCCACAAGCCAACAGGAAGTTTATGCCTACCTCAAACAATCCCAGGTCCGCATAGGTCTAGACTTACTAAGCTTGCATAATATCTGTCCTTCTGCACACACACATGCAGTGTATGTGCATTTTACATATGTGTGAGATGTACAGCCTACAGTTCTACTGCACAGGTTTCAGAGATAGAACACAAGTGGACGCAGTACACTATCGTACATGTACATCTGTGAACTTGTGCAGAATATGGATTTAGGTTGAAGTGTTACCCTTGTATGTGTTACCACGGAAGAAAGAAAATATCCCAACAATTGTAGGCCTACAGTTTAGACTACATGTACATGTACTTTGTAAATGTTCATGCACAGCATGGCAATCCAGATTTACATGTAGGAAAAGGGCACATCCCTGGTAAAAGTTGGGGAAATCAGGCCATGTTCCCCAAGTAGAGAGTTGAGAACAAGATGATGCAGTCTCCTTGCGGTATGTATGTTTGCCTTGGACACATTTTGAGGGTGGTCCAAACAGCACAGATCAGCTGGTCTGAGAGGATTACTATAGGATTAAGAGATAAGCCACATTACAGAGAGGAAGTCTTGATTGTTGATAAGACCTTAAAGCTGCCAACAGTGTTTGAGATCAAGCTGTATGGCACCCATTCACTGAATGAAATACATACAGACAGTACACAAACTGTCAGTTACCAGTAGTTACTTTATGTACCAACATGGATAGTGTGTTCTCAAGACCTGTGTGTAGCTGTGTATCTGTACATCTGCTCACAGCACATGTACATGTATGTAAATTTAGATTTGTCTTCCAAGAAAAGGGTATTCAAATACAGGTAAATAATGTGGGTTGTCGTGGCAACCACCGCGTTCCCTTGCAAGTATCCCCCAAATTGTAAAACATTAGAGGCAGACTGTTGTAAAGACTCAGGCTTGGTGCACATCACCTAAACTTTAAAGTTACAAGAACAAAGGATTCCCCTCAAAATAATGGAATTTTGCCCAATTCCTCCCATCTTGTGGGTTATAAAATGCCACACACAAAAATCAATGATGGTCTCTAGTTAAGAGTAATTTAGCAAAAAAAGTGGAGTGTAGATAAATTTTGATATTGCATGGGAATTCTCAGTCTATTGGATGCACAGAACAAGGACCCACCATGCTGGATAATACAACTTTCCTTTCATGTAAACATTGCAGGACATGATGTACATGTTCTACACATGTCTGATTAAAAAAGGATTAATTGACAAGGTAGTAGCTGGAGATTAGACCTCAATTTGTCCAGGAACATGCAGAAACCTTACAATGGGGGCCACTTCCTTCTTAAGCAGCTTACAGGGATGGTTGGAGATTAAAGCTTAGCATGCTTTCCAAGCTAAAAGGGGATGATCCTTTAATTCCTGTTAATTCATTGATTAGCTGGGATGGCTAGTAATTTCAGTTGTGTTCTTTGAGGGAAGTATTTTCCTTGACAAAAATGCCCTTCACGTAAGAATGATACTCTAAAACATTTAGAAGCAGTGACAATTTTTATTTTGGAAGTAGTTTTCTCTCCATTCTGATCAGTGTGCAAGGCAAGAAAGTTTGGAAGCAAAAGATTAGAAGAGACAACTGAACGGCAGCCAACCATTTTCTGTGACAGTGGCCAAAATCAAGCGATTAAGTGCAGTTGGCAAAGCAGCATACAAGTGACTGTCAACTGAATGATAGAAATTTTTTAGAGGAAAGGGTTTACAAAAACAATAACAAATGCAAACTGTTGATTGAAGCTGACCAGCACAATATGAACGTAATATCAGACTTCAAGAAATTTTCAACTTTTGATGCGATGTTTGGAAAAACAGAAAGTTGAAAGTATTTGCTCAAACTAAATCATTCAGAATTGTATGGACATTCAAAATACAAGTAATTATAGTTTGCAGCATTTCCAAACTTCCAAGTTTTGAATCACCCTCCCCCGCCAAAAATCAATTTCATATCCTGAATTTTTTAGGAGACCTAATTTTTCCTTGGCGTTGATGTACAAGCTAATATCTATTAACCAAACTAAACCTGAGTGTGTACCTTGGGGTACTCTCTACTAGACCCAGTTTCCCGTTACCTGGGACACGTAAGCAAGCATCCGAGGCACGTATCCCAATATGAAAATAAAGCCACAGTAAACTCCATGCCTTTTTCCGAGACTCCACAAAGACACAGGGGACTTTGGGGTAACACAAACACCCCAGGGCACCACAGCAAAGGGGAAATTAATTTGTGTACTTTTGTGAAATTTTAGGAGGGTACAACTTCCGGTGGGGGGGGGGAGGGGATTGGAGTCACCTGAGCTTTTACCATATTTGTGACTAGGGTCCACATGGACACAGGGCAAGATACATGTACATGTATGATACTACTGGTACATGTTGGAAATGTTGACACAAGCCTTGTGGTTTTATACTGTCCTGTATGAGGCCAAAAAAAAGGTATTTCATCTCTGGTCAGTGGAGAATCGATTTTAAGCATGCGCGTTAATTTTTCTCTGCGAGAGCTGCAACAGTGCCCTCTATTGCCGCACTGCCTCAACATTTTTGCAGGCAGCTCTATCTTTTACTCAGGTGATAGATCCCGATGAGATTGATATTGAACAATGGGGTAGCAGACTATGGATATGAAATTGGTGTCAGCTGATACTAAAGCTGGTCTAGTGCCATGACTCGACAACGTGTATCTGCAATTGTCTGTACAATCCAATCCTGGAGGAAAACAAAAAAACCTGCAGCGCCGCATCAATTCCGGAACATCAGTCTGACCAGAGACAAATTCTTTTTTTTGGCCTAATATGCCCAGTGCAACTCACATTCAAGTCAACATTGTGTAAACGTATTGCATGCTGCTCTAGCTGCATACTTACAGCATTTAAACTGGTACTCATAACATGGTGGTATGTACATGTACATCTTGTAATAGGTACATTGTATGCCAGACAAGACTGTTAGGACTGTTCACAGTCTCATGTAATACTCTTTGTATGCTTTGAATAGGCCTACTCTCTGCCATCAATTCTGAAATTGCCTGAAGATAATTTCATTTAACTTTAAACTCTTAGCATTCGCAAGTGCTTGTTCTTAGACTAAATTTGACCTCTTTGAAGTGATTCTCCATCTATTTTCAGCACCAGTGACCTCAAAAGTTAGCCGATGTCAAATCCTCCCCTGTTTGCACCCGTCACCGTCAATTAATGAACTAGTTGACACACCAGGGACTGTCCAAAGTTGTCAACGTCACAGCGACTGTTCTTATTGGCCAAAAAGGGTGGCAGGGAACCGGTTCGCTGCATACCGGCTTAATGCGATCTATGCCACTGTAATTCGGCTGATTTTTATCTATTAGGGTTCAAGTTGAGGGTCAGTGAAACAAGTTTTGAACTTGCTGCAAGTGCAATACATCTTTGGGGTAAATAAGTTCAATCCACTTAATAGAACTTGTGGTACTGCATTAGAGAGAGTCATTTCAGGCTTTACAAGCAGGGAAATGTATTCAGTATCAAAGAAGAAACTTTTAGAAGTGGTAAATTTAATATCACTGATAAACAGCACCCTAAATGCTTAATAAGGCATTACCTCAACCCCTACCTAGTGTATCTGGTAGGGGCACTGCACAGAATGTTAGATTTCAGTCAGACTTGTGTCCTGTCTCTGTTGTCAGACCGAGCGAAAGTCCTTTGTTAACTTGTCCCCCTTCTGCCACTTGAGTTTCAACTGCTTTAATATGTCTTCGATTTTCTTTCATATTTCTGCTCCACCTTGTTGATGTTTTATGACAGCAATATCAGACTGTATGAAGGGAAGGCACAGAGGGATGTCTTTTCATTTGGTCCAGGCACTAACAGCCTACAGATGACTCTAGAGCCAGAGATACCAAAGTTGCAGACACAGCCAAGCTTTGAGAAGAACTCCAGACGAGGGGGGTTTAAGGCATAACTGGGCACGATGGGATTTTATCCTAAAGTTATACAGAACCTAAAGACATTTTAAGCAAGATCAATGCTTGGGCCTACATAGGCCTACATGTTCATTTGGTCATTCTTGTGTCTATCTAACCATGTCTGACCATTAAAGCCAGGGTCTAATCCAGTAAGTCATACTTTGTTACCATTGGAAGACAGCCATTTAATCTATCGTTGGTTGCGGAAGTAAATTTCCATGAGCCACTTAAATCCTACGTCTGCAGACGCTAAGGACACATCATTACATGTCAACCACAGACTAAAGTGAAGTCATCCAGACGAAAGTTACATGAATCACCAATCAAATCATACGACAAATTAGAAGTTTGGAACAACATTTGTCACGTAGGGAACTTGGACTGAACTTTTCTGAACTTTAGCCCAAGGTTTCTTGTACTTTAAATACTGAGTAATCTGAGCTGGGAAATTAGACTTATAAAAAAAAACTTAGTTGGATGTACATGTACAACTCAAGAACCAGTGCACCTGCAACAGACTGAACTGGTAAATATTAATCAGTAGTTAGTACACAAGCTATCAATGTTTGAATAGCTAAAATTCAAAGTTCTTAAACAGATTGCACATGAAGCAAACCCTCACCAATTAAGTTGGCTTACAAGTTTACCACACTGAACACTGAAACAAGCATGACTTGGAGGCTGTTGTGGACTCTAACATAAACTGTGGGCTGCTCAAGAGTTAAGTAAAGCAAAGCCAATGAAAACTTGAAAGACTGAAAGAAAATTCTACTTGAAACTTGAAAGTGAAATTTATATTCTGTCATAACTGCCATAATTGCAACGTCAATATTTGGACCATGTCGGACAAGCATGCAATCTCGTTAGCGGACCCCAGGTTGTGACCCAGGTCAAGAACTAATCATAACACAAATACTGAACAGTGGATATGGACAGACTTACCCGGCGGACACTGGCAATCGCCCAAGCTACGCTCAACTCTTCTCTCCATGTGGGAATTGACTTTCTGTAGGGGGGGTGTAACAATTGAATCAGAGCAACTCATTAGGGGAAAAATAATTTAAAGGTTAGATTTTAAAGAGCCAGCTTGGAGAGAATGACTTTTCTAGAAGAAGATGCAATTCCAAAGATGTACATGTAAGCAAAACCTTTCCACAGGCAAAACTGCCATGTGGATAATCCAGGAAACTATTTTTCTCCCAAAGTTCAATTGCAGTCCATTCTATATAATCTTCATCTGGTCAGTATGACAAGTCAGTTTCTACAAAAACTTGTAAAGAGTAAAACACAAGAGTAAACCCTACTTCTCTAGGCACTTCCATCCCATAGACATGGTGGACGATGAGTTTGTTGGCCTTTTTTACACCCCCCAGAAAGAAACTTCAAAAAATGGTCCCAGGTGAACATTTGGTAGTGCTTTCTCAACGTCAATTTAATTTATAATGAACTTCTCATTCAGCTGTTGAGCCCGAAGCTATTTGCTTCAAAAGACCTTAATTTCAAAATCATCTGCAACAAATTTTTTGAATGGAAATACCTATGTTACTGCTGCATAGGCCTACATAACTTATATGTAAGGCCTTTTTTTTCACAAATTTGTCAGAAACTGGACGGTTCGCAGTGACAATATGGAAAGATATATCTACTGAATTTTTGAAAGGATGTTTAAGAGGACAGAACTGATGGGTGAGCTGTGTCTTTCAGCACACTTTGATCATGAAGCAGTTTTCTACTGGAAGGTTCTTTTTGGGAGGTTCTGAAAAAGCACCATGAAGGGACTCAACTTAAATCTTTGAGAGAAAAAAAACTCGGGGGTGGAGATACAGTGTATATGTATCCATCAATAATGTTACTGCCATGTATGATCCCTTTAAACTGTTCTTAGCTCCTGCCCAGTAGGTAACCAAGCTACCTCTACTGTGCCCTTGCGAACTTCACCTGATTAGAACTGACTTTTCCATCCCTTCTCTTGGCTCCTTCGTTGTTGGGTCTACCGGGCCCCACAGGTACCATGTAACAACAACCCACTAACCCTGTAAGTCTGTACTCAACCAATGCTCCATCATGTCTTTATCTGCATGTCAGGCCAATTAAATTAATATCCCTGTTTATCATAAACTCAACATGAAATAACACAAACCTGAAGCATTGTTTTTCTTTTCTGTAACTTAAATTTTTTTTAACTTTTTTCTGCTTAAAGTTGGCAAAGCATTAAAAACTGGCACTGTTATAATTATAATATACTACATAAATGTGGCTCGGAAAATTTCCATCTGATTTTTGCTAATAAGTTTGTAAGCACAGCAGTAGGCATCAAGTTATAGACCTTAGTTTGATAACTTTTGATTTTGATGTTCTGACATTTAAATACAACTGTACATGTATGTACAAGTACATGTAAATAGTTCCATGTTACAACACACCCATCCATTAAATATGTATACACATGTACAATAATCAGGGTAAAGTGAGCAAGTTGTAACCTTGAATGAAAGGTGAATCACTTTTATGTGCGGAAATTCACGACAGCGTCCTTTGGGGACGACGTACGGCGGTTACTCTGCGCAATATCAGCTGGAGTGATTATGTAACTTTATCAAACAAGTGAAACATACACACTTCGCGTACAATAGAGGCCCAGGTAGCCATGAATGGCAAAGTTTAGCACCGGGTTGAATCATGGTTGAATGGAGGTGACACACAAAACCTTCATTGTGCCGGCGTCACTAAAAGAGATTCTCTGCTTAACGGAGGCATTAGCACACGGCTTCAAAAAGAACAGAGAAGAAGCTTTTCAGGTCTCACTTTTATATTAAGAGAAAGACTTTTCCGGTAGACAGGATAAATAAGGGTCATACAACGGGACTAAAATCGATCTGGGCTATGCAAAAACACCGCCAGGATGATGCGGTGAATGCCCCGAGAATCGCCATGGAAGGCCAGCGGACAGCTACCGTGTAAGCCCTGTTAAGAAATACCGGTCACGGTCGGCCAAACCACGATGTGTGGGCACGCCGTGTACGTAAACAGCACTCCACCTTTAACCCCATCTGCTGAAAATGAAGTAATACTTACTTGCTCCATCAATCTGTTAACTTCCGTCTCGACATAACTTTGCACCTGGTCGCGTAATGTGTCCTCTTGGAGGCTATGTAACCTCGATAATTCGAGCTCCACGTATGAAATCCTCTGGTTTAACACAAAAAAGCAAAGTACAGACCCAACGCTGAAAATAGTCACTGCCAGTCCCCATACTATCGTAGCCCACGGATATTTTCGAGCTCCCCTCGCCGGATCAACTGAAGTCTTTTCGCTATCCATGGCCGATCTCAGATCCCTAGCACTAATCCTGAGGCAAAGACAGCATCTTCTCCTGTCGTTTTCACAGTGGAAATTGAGATTTTTGAAGCTGTGCTAATCGCGTGATGTAAGCCACGTGCGTGTGTTGATATCCGACGACGCGAACTCCACGAGCCGGCTGCACGAACTAATCTCCATTGATAGCTTGCACACACGCACTACGGACTAGAGGTCTCACCACCGTATATTCATCCGCCCTCGTGGAACTACATAGCCTGAATGGCACCGGGGTGGGGGGAAACTGCGCACCCCAGAGACATCCTACTTAGACAGAACATTCACATAGGCTGCACAGTTTTGGAAGGATGTCACAAATTAAATAAAATCGGAGGAAATTGACGCCCAGTCACCGATGGCGGATTAACAAGTACGAAGTGACGTGGTGACGCGTCTTTTTGTACCTGTCAAACTTTTTCTGCACTCGCACAGCTCAGATGCAGAGTCGCTCAGTGCGGTGCTAACCACTACGTGTGGTTTTTTTGAGTTCCAGAACACTAAACCTGGCTGTGAAAACCGCTAAGCTATTTTACTGTCCTGAGATGGCAGATACATATCTAAATCAAAACAGCCAGCTCAATTCCTGATGAAGAGAAGAACAGTCATTTACAAGTGGGTCAGTCTGCATAGTAGCATCTTTGGGGGCGGTCTGGCGATGCGGTCAGTTGAATGCCGTGGCCCGTCGCACTGACCGATTTCAGGCACACTGCGAACTTTTCAACGGATTAACCCTATTGTAAAGGAATTGTTTATAAACTATCGCGGTGCCTCGGCATTCCAGCCATAGCAGAGGGTTCGCCCCTTCTTCTAAAATAATATACACAAATTATCAAGTTCACTGGGTGGTTGCCTGCATCTAGATTGTGCTTCGCTGCTTGTTGATGCCTTCCTCCATAGTTGAAGGTGTCATGACCATGATCGGGCTAGTGTGTTCCACCATTCCTCTATGGTAACACCAGACGCCCAATTGGGCTATAATGGGAGATGTATGAAAACACCAAACTTGTTGGCTCTTGTAAGGACGTCGATGTGGGCTTGAAAACCAAAGCATGTGGAATTTGGAACGGGAAACTCTTGTTCTTCTACCGAGCGAGCATCTGTATATTTTCTTCTAATCTAAAAAGGCAAACAGCTGAAGCCTTTATATTTTTAAGAAAAAATGCTATTTTGGAAGAGAGAGGGGGGTTAATTTCCTCTTCAAGTTTTTACAATCAATAAAAAATCATTGATTGTTAGCGCTGCAGGATCCATCCCTATAAGATATTCCTTTCATATTCCTTTATACCATTGTGATCTCTACCACCACACCACTACCATCCTCAGAATCACTATCAAGATCAATGACATGATCACAACCATCCGAGTACAAGGTTTCAGCGATAATTGCGGAATTTTTTGTATACAGTATAGGCCCGCTTTATTTACCACCATAAGTTTGACGGCTACCTTCAACAAGCCGCACCAGCCATGATCATAAATCCAGAAAACAGTACTTCCAACACCAAGCATTAAATTCTATGCAACCATAACATTTTCACAACACTCTTATGGTCATTAGCGACAATTATCTCAGCCGCAAAAAAGGACTTTTCTTCAAAACCGCACAATAGACTTGTCTACACTGTGCACTTTTCTGTGGTTGGCGTTGTTCTTGTTTCGGTTTTGTGGTCAACGTTTATCCACTCTTCCCGTCTATTTTCGATTCAGAACATCCGTTGTTTGACGGTCACGTACAAAATGCACCCCTAACAAACAACACCGAAGTCCAAATATCGCAATACCTCTATCTAATGGTTGTGCCAAACGATTTCCCACGGGCGAGCAATAATACTCGGGCTTCAAGTTGCACAATTTTCTCCTTGCATCATGGAGCGCTCAAGGTCTGCCACAATTGGTGTTTAAAGACAACCGTCAGTCGTGAATCGCAAGGATCTTTGGTAAAAAGGAAAATCCTTCCAGTGGGCTTGGAAAAAGTCTTAAAGGGAGGCTCTTTGAGAATGTCAGGAAGATTTATCACTCACGAATCCTTGACCTAAAACATATAGCTAACGCCGTTATGTCCTATAATAAATTGTAATTATTTCGTGAAGGAAGTGGGAATGGTGGTGAGTTCTCATCAGGCGGGGACGGTGTATGTAAAGCGGAAGTACTTAGAATTTATAGAACTACATGTACCAGTAATCCCGGAAGGAAATTCTACAATGCCCCCTTTAGACCATCCTTTCTTTACTAGTCACAGTAATTGATAACGAACTCCTCCTCACGGGTTACCTTTGGTGGAGTGGGGATTACGCCCGATTGCATATGCTTTATTGATGGTATCCGGTAAGCATCTCGGTTCTTATACTAGCATGGAGTAGGACCCAGCACATTAAACGTTTATGCTGGTCGCGAGACCTGAAATGGGTAATCGTGTAGAGCTAACTCAACTTCCAACAGAACTTCAACTTCATTGTGAGGCAATGGAGCTGAGCGAATAACTTCACAGGGTACACTCAGGTAAAAGTTCAGGATTCAAACATGGCGCATGTTAGCCACCAACATTTGGCAGAATTTTCAAAGGGTGCCGATCCGGATCGAGAAGAGAACAAAGCGGCCTGTCGTTTTTCTCCATGAAAATATTTTAATATTTTCAAGAGTACCGGTAATCATGGGGTTGAAGAATGCAATGAATATACGCTCTTAATATTTACCATTCGGGTTCGGAAGCAGATTATAGTCTGTCTTGTAGGCTTTCCTTAAAGCCTTTGAGACCACCCTCTGGTTCTGCAACCCCGCCCCTATTTTGGAAACCGGGACAGGATCGTAAGGCTTGTGTAGATTATTGTTTTGTTCTTGAAGTATAATATATTCACCAGTTGAACAATACGTTATACGATACTTAGTGACTTTCATGATCTAGACATGGCTACTTGAAAAAGGGTGGTTCTGTCTTACTGGGATAAACCTCCTTCCGTTGGAAAGAAAGCATCAAGTGTCTCATCTGTCATTTTTGTGAATTCTTCCTGAGCCTCGAGATCTTCTAAGCTTAGACACAGCCCCCTTGCCCTTTGTCTTGTGAGAAGTCTTCTGTTCATTTACTTGTACCATGTAGCTTGTGTGTGCTGTGTCATTTTGAAGTAAAGTTCACGATCTAGCCAACAGCCAAATTAAACCCACAAATCTCTCTTTCATGAGAGAAAGGCCATCCCTGTTCACACCCGTCCAAATCCCTGCCTTTGTCGCCGATAGATAACTTCTCTCTAGGGATCGTAAGACTGATAACGAAGTCCACTTATAGATTTGGGTAGATCATAGTAAAACAGTGGGCTGTCAACAGTCTTTAATCCAGGGGTACAAGTCATGATGCATGAGATTTACTGAAGCTCTGGGTCATTCTATCAGCAATGTGCATGCCAACATCCAGCATACACCTGAAGTGCAAGCTTAATATTCATTATAATATGCATATTGTTATACCACAGAAACAAAACTGCGCATTCACCATTTACAAGGGATGACAGACCTTTCTTCCTAATATTGAATGATTTCGATGACAACTTCGATATTTCAGGATTTTTGTGAATTAACGCACCCTGCTTTAGTTTACTCACGAAAGCAAAATCACGGTCGAGAACTTCCCTCAAGGAGAATGTTACCGGCAATTAGACAGGCATTTCCCTAAACAATGTCCCCTTGCATAAATTCTGAATACGTCAAGTAACCGTGTAATCATGAATTAAAACAGTCGAGAATTCACGTCTTTTCCCACCCAAACTCCTAACAGTGCCTCGGACCATCTGGGACAAGAACAGTGCCCATGTGTCCCTCATATCTCTGGCCCGAGGAAGGAGCGACTATATACAATGTACATCACCCCCACGACAGAAAAATCAAAGCAACCCCGTGGCTGATAGTCATTCGAAATCTTCCGGCCTATTATAGCAAACAGTCATCAATTACATTTCACAGAGGTCATCCTTTCGAAGCGATGATCTCTCCTGAGTCCCAGGCCATGACCATAAGCATCCTGTGACCCGCCGGGTGAATCCGAGGTGCGATATATCAGAGTGGAGGATACAGAGCAATGGGGGTGTACGCGTAGCTGAAGCTAATTAGAATGACAGGTCCTGTGCGTAAAGTAAGAATTGTTCAGGATCCCTGGAAGTATACGCTCTGTCGACTTTTTAGTGCTATGCTTTTCGTTCAAATTAAACTGAAATCGAGATTCTCCCAAACTACGTTGATTTCTGTTCCTTCAACAACGGAAGTCGTATTATGGAATAGGCCCATACTTCGAAAGACAACAAAAATATACAAAGTCTAGTCTCGACCACAGATGTCCGGACCAAAGAGATTGTTCTCTCTGCTCATCCCAAACTCCGACCTTTCAACCCTTCACCCCTTGCCCTATGCAAAATGTTGCTCGGTGATTTTTTGGACCCCCAGTCATATTGATGGTACGGAAAACAATGACTACGAGATCTGTGGCCTCTGAGTCATGGCTTGGTTCGTCTCCAGAACCTCCCCAGGAATAAACTTCATCATGACAGGAAGAATTCTAAACTTTCTAAGTCGTTTACTGAAGTTAATGGCAAGAGTTGGCTTGATTTCCTGCCCGTTACGGGGCACTTGGCACAATCATTATCCCCTCAGTTTATTATTGTCTATAGCTCTTCTGTACCTTCTTAAAGCCTTTGCAACTCACGTAAGACGTTTGTCTCTTCGAATAATTTTGAGCGCCCTCTATTGACGAAAACCGGCCGCTGGATTAGCAATCGTTACATGCTTGGAAAACAGCGTTCGTGACTTTTGAGCGCAAAAATAATCGTGCACAAAACTGGCACATAAAAACAGCTGGAAAATGAGTTTCTGGAGAAGGTTGGTGCAACCCCTTCCCGTATTTCGCTTGGGGCTCTGACAGACAGAAGCGAACGAGTACAGCTCCCGTGACCTCAGGACAGCACGCCCAGCAATTACCGAGTCATTTTGCCGCGCCAGGACTTGGAATGAACTGATCCATCTGATTATTATCCTAAGGATGTCAGAGGCCGCCGGAATCTGTCATCGCCTGGTGAGAAAACGAGGGCAAATATGTACGCCTGTATGAATCTGAAGCTGGACTACCATCTTCTCTAAACTGGTATTTTGGTGAGAAAAAGTATAGTTTTGATTGCTTTTTAGTGCCATTATTTTCTCTTGGTTACTTGTGTTCTTCCTGTCTGAAGCTACTTCTTTACAACTTTCGATCCTTTCCCCCCTTTCTTTATCTTCAGCAATCTCAAGAATTCTCTCTAGACAAACTCCTCGATATTCCCTGGCGTTTTTTTTTCTGCGGGGAAGGGGCTCTTTTACCCATTGATGTGGACCAGCAAAACAGCTCCTTGCTCGGCTTCTGTCAT